ATTTCAGTGGAGACTGGCTGGAAAGAATCAAAGCCTTCCTTTATTTCCTTTAGGTTAATGTCTAACACACACACACACCCCCGCCCCTCTACTGCACACACTGACAGAGGTCATGTCAACAGACGTGTTACAGATGTTGTCTACCAACACCTACAGGCCGAAAAAAAACATGAAAATGTGCATTTTACAATATTATGTGATGCTCCATCTCTCAAACATACAGGTTGCTGGTTCAAGGTCAGAGTCAGATGTGATACACTTACCACAGTGATACTTTTATAACTTGAGTAAACCTTAGACTAAATCAATACAAGCTGTCAAAAACAGCCAACGTGATGATCGGACTGATGGAACACAAACTTCAGAGCAACTATGGCTTTCTGATTTCCTCTCCCTTCCTCCTGAGCTCTTTGGCACCATATCAAACCTGCTATACCAGCATGGAATGAATCCTGCCTGTGTGTGTGTGTGTGTGTGTGTGTGTGTGTGTGTGTGTGTGTGTGTGTCTTCTCCCCACATGCATTAAGAGTGGTGTCCATTTCTGCCTCGCTCACAGTTCACAAAGCCTCGGTTAAGACAGACAAAATAGCATCTGAGCATGGAGAGCCAAGCAGGAGAGCATGATGTGGAGTGTGTGTGTCGCGAGAGAGAAAGACGGAGAGAGAGAGAGAGAGAGAGAGAGAGAGAGAGAGAGAGAGAGAGAGAGAGAGAGAGAGAGAGAGAGAGAGAGAGAGAGAGAGAGAGAGAGAGAGCGAGAGATAGAGATAGAGAGAGAGACAAGAGGCCAAGAGCAAGTAGTGAGCTAAACTATCATCAGCCACTGCTGACTCGGCAAATTCTTGACAAATGCCTGTGTTTTTGTGAGTGAGTGTCTGCGTGCGAATGCTTATGCATAACAGCAGGTCCTCATAAGAAGACTCAGATATTGCACTTTTCATAGTGAATACAAAAAAAATAGTTTTAAAGGTCACATATTCATGGCCATTTCTACTGATCATAATTCCATTGTTGAGGTCTACTAAAATAGATTTATACTGTGCAATTTTCCAAACTCACATTGGTTTCTCATACAGCATCTCTGTAAACTACGTGTATTCACTGAATTTCACTCTGCCTTTAACGGCTCGTTGTAGCTCCAAAGCTCCAGCCCCCACCCTCCCTGTGAGCACAGTGTGCTCTGATTGGTCGGGACGTTGTGAATCGCGCTGAGCTCCGTGGAGGTGTTGTTTCCTTGTTAGCGATACACAGCCAAACACAGCCAAACTCATCCTGAGCACACACAAAGTCACAGCCGAAGTAAAAACAATAAGTGTGGCTTGATATTGAGTAAGAAAAAGGTTGATAAACGCTGTGAGAATGGGTCTGCAGAGAGAATTTTGCCGCGATCCCAACTGTCTGTTATCAGCCTGCAGCCAGGGAGGAGAAATCAGCAGAGCTGCCTGCTCCCTGCACACAGATGTGTGTGTGAGGAAGTCCGTGGATTGGTCAATTTGGACCAATCAGCAGGGGCTTAACTTAACGGCTCCACGGACGTAACGTAACGGCTCCACGGATTGGTCCATTTGGTTCCGGGTACCGCATGACCGTATCGCGCCATAGCTCTGGGCGTGGCTACTGGGTATCCAGACGTCACGATGCCCAGGAAGAACATGAGAAATCTCCAACGAGGCGTTTTGGGGAGGTCTTTTCTGTGTTAGAGTTTTACTCCCTACAGGGTGTACTTTGAGGGTTTGTGACTCTGCAGACCGTTTACATGCATAAAAACCTTCATAACACACAAGGGGACGGGTAATAACCGGAAAAGCATGACATGGGACCTTTAATGAAAGTGGGGCTACATTTACTGTTCTCAATAGTATACCTGTGTTTCATTTACAGTATATGCCAACATTAAATGACTACAATGCATTACTTTTTCTAGTAAAAACTACATCTACAAAACTATTTTCAGTATTTCAAAAAAATACAATTGTTAGACTTTACTAGTGTTCAATAAACCGTTGTATTGTGATATACAGTATACAATGTGCACATTTCTTTTGTGCCTTTTTTCTTTGATATTGTTGTTAAAGAAATATGTATATAACATTATATATGTGTTTTATTATGTATTTTAAATACTTGCTTTAACTTCTTAACGATTATGGAAATATTTGTTTTCTCTTTTTCTTTCTCTTTAAATTTAGTTTCATTCTAAAATGGAGCAACTGTCCCGAAAATTCCCTTGGAATAAATACAGTTTTCTGATTTTGATTTGATTCTGCATGTTAAAGGGGACATATCATGCAAAATGCACTTTTTGATGTCTTTGGTGTCCCCGGTGTGTCGGGGAACTCACGCAGCGTCAGAAAATATAACCCTCTCTCTTTTCCTCCGTACCCAAATCTCTAAAAACGGGGGTAAAACGGAGCTGATCCAGATTTGCGTCCGATATGACGTAATATCGGAAATGTAGACTGGCTTTACACCCACGGCCCTATCAGAAACGTTGCTATCAGAAACAATGCCCGACTGTTTTGGACGTAATATGGTCGGTGCATGTTTACATTAGCATCGCTAACACTCAGAGCTAACCTGTACTGGAGAGCATGTGTGTGAAGAAGCAGGAAATAAAAAGGAACTCACCTTGTGGTATAACCAACAAGAGAGAAAGCCTTTGAGCTCCATACTGTTTCAGAAATAATCCTTGATAATCCATGATATGGCGTTTCATCACCGCAGAATCTGCCGGTAGAATCTCCCGCATGAGCTCAGCCCCCTCCTTTTTTATCAATTATTTTTATTTTTAAAGCTTTATACCCAAAATCAGCACTTTTGAAACAGGAAGTGAAATAGAGGGATATGAGGCATGGCTAGAATGGGTGATCTGTTTGGTATTTTGAGCAAAACACTTCATAGAAATGTTTTTTATATATTTTTATATATCTGAGACCTATGCTATTGCCTAACAAAAGCATGATAGGTCCACTTTAACTTATCTGACTAACAGCTACAATTAAATCTAATCTTTCATTTAAATCTGTAAATATCTTCAATGACGTCAACATGTACAACTTTACAGCTTAGTTGATGGGTTTTTGAGTTTTCATTTGCCCTACCTATTAAAGCATACTAGCTTGTATACACACAATAAACATAGCCCTATATCAGTCAAAAGAGTGTCTAATTAGTCTGGGATGTTTTTATATATGCGTGTTTGCACTATCTGGGGATCAGTGCTGCATGGGCAACTCCTCACTGAGCAGATGTCCCAACAGTGTCCTCCGTGCAGCTCATGGAGCCACAAGCCAATATTGACACACCTCTAACTGCAGGCAGATGCAGGCAGATAGTGTTACCTGCAGAGCTGCATCGCCTCCAGAAGATAACAACAGGATAGAGTCTTGCCACAAAGGCAGACTGTGTTGTAGTGTGTGACACAAGACTTTCGCAAAAGATTGACGGGTTATTTCAAAATAGGATCAAGTGTGTGGGAAATTACAAGTCATATCAGTTGCAGTGTGGTTTTAAAAGGTTGTTACAGCCACAGAAATTAAGGGCAGTCTTTACAGAGACACTTATTTAGTCATCCTTCTGACACATCACACTTATTTTTGTCGCCATAAAAACATAATTCTCATTGTGGTTTACATTATGTTTTCTCAATCAATATCTACACACCCAGAAAACTGTGGAATAAGATAAGTTTTGTGACACCTGACTGCAGTGAACCTTTGACTTTTCAGGCTCGTGGACAAAACTCAGCTGAACTACTCAAACCGGCTCCACCTCAAGTCACACCACAATGAGCGTTAGGTGTTTTCGGTAATCATGTGTTTTGTCTTTGTAATAACACTGGCTGCTTTCTGTCAAATCACGGCAGAAACCAAAATAACGATGGGACTCCATGAAAGACAGAAAAGTCGGCTCCAAATCAAGGTATCTTCATTTCATTTTGAACTTCAAGAAATTAAGGTTGTATTCACATTTTGTCAATTTAACAGTGAGTTATAAAGATAAAAACTAGATGTTATCTGTAGAGTAGAAGAGTTGCTACAGTATACAGACCTGGGACTCAACAGCGAGTTTATATGGACCTTATTATTGTCAGTGCTGCCTTTCTGTCAGTTGTATGACAGGTCTATAACCTGGAATTGTAACTTTGGACTGCTCATATTAAAGCCATAATTACATGTTTACCTTCATGTTGATAATTGCATGACTCAAAAGGGAGGCCAAAAGGAACAAGCTGTCAGATTTTCTGCCAATTTGCAGACTTTCTGGCCAGATTTTTCGACTTTTGTAGCTTTTTAGGAGCTACTTTCACTTAACAAGTGTTGGCAACAAGTCAAGCTTATTCTGGTTGGTTTCTCAAATGGTACATAGTGTAGCCTTTATTTTTTAAGGGGTTTGACCAACTAATTTAAACCACCATAGTTAGGGATAGTTAAGGCATGGAATTAATGGGTTTCAAAGGAAAAACTGAAAACAAGGAACTCATCTTTAAATGGGTTAAATATAATCTACTTTCTCTCGTTTGTGCTCATTGTGGTTCTTTAGCATACTGACAAACGCCTCCGTCCGTGTACCTCCATTTTTAGTTTCCCAAGTGTCCCCTGTTGCCATAGCATACAACACTTCGCTAGAGGACTTTATGAAGCAAGCATACGTTCTTCCCGGTGTTGATTATTGTTTCCCGCCTAACAGAGGCGAGCACAGTCAACACCGACCTGCAGCACTGAAACATTGCTTAACGTTGCGTAACTCCCACGGCGAGAGAACGAGACATTCCGCGACAGCAACTCCTCCTCTCGTTCCCAACCGCCACACGATCCTATTATTATTACAAATACTACTGATGTGAACAGAGGTTTGTTCCTCTATGACAAAACAAAGAGCCAAAGCCGGGTCTAGTAAAGAAAGGCGACTCCTGACACCTAGTTCCCTGCAAGAAAGCAAGTGTCCCAAGTGTCAAACAACACCAAGTGTAACCCCAAGTTTCTCAAAAAACAGCGACTTACCTCTTCCGCTGTCTTGGAAAGTGTCTTGTTCGTCGCGAGTTTGTAACCCCGGTTTTAGTTTTTGAAGCAGCACGGTTTTCCCAGGAGGTTCGACTTTGAAAAACTTCAATGGAGTTTAAGGAAGTGTTGAAGGCGGCTGCGGTTCACTCAGCTCCCTCTGTCTCCGAGCCCGACTCTGTACTGCTGCGGCTCTGTGGCAGCGCGCTGCAGAGCACTGAGGCGTGACGTCACACAGGTGAATTCCCAAAGACCGAACACACACACACACACACACACACACACACACACACACACACACACACACACACACACACACACACACACACACACACACACACACACACACACACACACACACACACTAATGGTTTTGCAGTGTGTGCAGTAGAGGCGGTACAATTCATAAAGTGATTAAACTAGGGATAAGTCTATATTTACCTATTATTTACAATTCAGGGCACTATCAGACGTGATTTTAAAATGGATATTCCACATATATCATTTTGGCCTCCTTTAGCCATCGGAATTCAGTGTGTCCTGTAACCTTGGCCTGAACCAGCAACATATCACTTTACAATGCAAACCAATGAAGTTAGGAAATAATGTGTTTATTCTTTGCAATAGTTTTATAGTTCACAATTGGCAGAGCCCTTGATAGACATTGTATTGTATTTACATTTTTGTTGTTGCCTTGTGCTTTTTATTGATTATTAAATGCATTGAGAGAATGAAAAAAATGGTGAAATTCCTTATCTGATTTGGAATCTTATATGTGATTTTCTACAGTTCCACACTGTGAGTAAATGTCCCCAAACGATTTTGCCTTGCAGTAAAAAAGTTAATATATTGCAGAATAACCAGCAAACCGCTGGTCTGTCTGTCTATTCATCAGTCCCTGACTGTTAAACACACACAGGTTTGAGAGAAAATGCAGTTTACCAAACACTTCCACTCTAGCCCTGCCCACATCACCTCCACACAAAACAAGCACGGAGATCCACGTGGTGCTGAGTCATCAGCCGGCTCCCCACCCACCAAAACTGTATGACTATAAGAGAGGATGGAGCAGTACATTTAGACAGCTTGTCTCAACCCGTAAAGAGCTATTTATAGTTTTAAAAAGGGTAGAACAATGACATAGAGAATTGGTGACCTGGGATGAATGCTATGGAGTTACTCATCACATCAAACATTTGGAGCATAGGCAACCATTCAACTAAAGGACAATGGATTTAACAAAAAAACATCTACCACCACTCACCAAGAAAATACACACACATTTGAAGTCAAGCATGAATTTGAATGTAGTTATTTCAAGATCACTCAGAGCTATAATGTGTTTCTTTGAGAAACACCCACACTAATTTAGAAAATGTACCATGAAAGCAAGCTTTAACTTAACACACACAACCATAAAGACCCATCATGGAAAACGTTACTTTAATCTTTACTTCTACTTCCTGGAAAACTGTCTATCTTCACCAATGACCTCATTCTGCACCAATAGTTGTAAATAAATATTCCGTCCAATAAAACTATCACAGACTTTGTATCAGTGACCCCTGCCTGCCACACCCATCAAATAAACCTGCCTCAGGCTTTCCCAGATTATATCCAGTGTGATTTTGAGTGATCCCGCCCTGTGTTTTGTCACGGCCTGCATTTAGCTTAAACAGGAAGTACCTCAAATTGGGGAAGCAGGATTTTCTTCAGATTTTGTCACCATGAACACCCCCTACAAGAAGAAATAAAGGACATAGGGGTGTATAGTTTTCGGATGTCTGTAATAAAGTTAATATCTCACTAACACCTGGGGTTACAGAGCATCAAAGCTAACGCTTAAAGCTTGAAGTTTAAATTAAAGGGGCCCTATTGTGCTTTATTTACTTCATGCTGCCTGTGCTGCAGCACCTCTTTTCACCCTCTGTCTGAAACCAGAGCCCATCTGCTCTGATTGGTCAGCAGGCCGGCTCTGAACTCCCTCTGTAGGGAACTTTGGGATTTTAGCCTCTGCAGATAATTAACATGCACACACACCTATATGACACACTACAGCAAAGGGAAATCCCCAAAAAGCATGATAGGATCCCTTTAAGTCCACCTTAGTCACAAGGAACCATGCAGTACCAAGTTGGTATCATAAAGATTAACAAGTGAAATGATTTAAAGACTGTTATCTGCTACAAGAATTACAGCATGAGTTAGTTCACTTGTTAAGTCTCAGAGGGTTATATTTTTTCACTTTAAAAACTCTTGTATCATAATAACAAGATACAGCATATACTGTTTTAAACTATGGCTTCATATTTTCTGTGTGAATTAGACTTGTAGGGGGAAAGAACCCAGTGCCAGGGCAAACATCAGAGTGAGTAGTAAGGGGAACAGACTATGGGAGGGGGGAGGAAAAAGCAATCTTTAGAAACAAGGAGAGAAATAGCCCTTTCATCAAGAGACATGACTACATCTGCTATCTGTCCTCATTTACGTCTTCTCTCCTTCTCTCACTTTCTCATGTTTCAAGGCTGATATGTTTGTAGCCAAAGACAAGTTCAACAGGCTCCTCACTCAAAAGGCCTTGAGGCAAACCAGGCAAGCATTAAAACAGCAATATATTGGCTTAGCTCTTACATGACAGCATAATGTTGGTTAAACATTTAGCAATGGTGGGTTATCTTTAAAAGTAGTGTCATTTTGTGACAGTGACAGACTATACCCACTGATCTGGAATATCAGCGGGGTTTTTGTGTATACTTCTTATCATGTCCATCAGTGAATTTAGCTGCTTATTACATGCTGTCATTCATACTTATCCTCTTTTGTCACATATTCTTCATACATTCTCGTAAATAGGAGGAGACAAGAACAAAGAAATGGAAAGACGGAGAACTTCCCCTCTAAAAAAAAAACCTTACCTCAAAGTTTGATCAGGTGTGTCTGCAGTATTACATTGGAATTGTGTAAGAGATTAAAATGGCTTACGCTTCCTTGGAAGATATGCCCCTTTAAAACCTAGCAAACAGTAAGTATTATTATCCGATCTGGAATTCATTATCAAAACATTTAGGTTTTTGTCTTAAATTGTGATTTTTTTGTGAACCTTTTAGCCTGCATAGTCTGAGATGTTTGGGAAATGAAACACAGGCACTCTTTATTGACTCTCATATTAGCTTCCTGAATGCGGATTAGAAACTCTGTGTGAGTGTGTACAAGGAGAAGCTGTCCTTTTACTATTTTAGGAGGACATTTTCTTCCAATTTGCCTCGACTATAGAAATGTAAGCTACCTAATCTCTCTCTGCATCTCTGGTTCCCCCCCAGCTACTCAGGCAACGTTTTTTGTGAATGTGTTTCTGCATGCGTGAGACACCACGTGACTGAGTTCATGCTCCAGACGAGAAGAGGAACAAGGTGTCTTCAACTTTCAGGTGCTTGAAGGAAATGAGCAAACTTCCCCTGCTCACACAGCCTTTCTCACTTCTCTCTCTCTCTCTCTCTCTTTTGGGACTTCAACTAAATATTGGGTCACTGACGCTCCTGGGATCACGTATTTAGATCAACCCCAATTTTCCTTTTTTTTGTTCTGCCTACTTTCTGACTGACATCACATCATCTTTACTCATTAAAGTGGAAATTATATTTTTGCCAGATCTCTGTAACGGTGTCCTCAGCAAACCCTGTGTTCCCTTAGTTCCTAACTACCTTATAAAGTTTTTAATGTGCAAATAAAATACATATTAAATTACCAAAGGACCTAAACTGGCCGATAAATTATAGCCACTTTTATGTACTTTTGTAAGCGCTCACACCGGGCCTGCTCTGGTTTACTCACAGTCATTAATATTGCAGATAAAAAGCTGAAAAATAAATAGGCCGAAATGTTTTGTGCTGTTACTTTGTGTTTAAATATTAATGCTAGCAATGCTTTCTTGGTCGCTTTACATCACTGTCTAACTTGGTTGTTTGGCTTAGTGGAACTCTTTGGTATAACTAATTAACTTATCTGAGATGGCTCTTATTACCCGAGGCTGGGAAGTGAAAAGCCTTTTACAAAAGAAGGGCTCATTAAGGGTCTCCAACGGCAGTGGGTGGGAATGTGTGTTTCTCATTTGGCCAAATTACTTCAGCAACAAGTCAGCATAAATGATGTGTAATCCCTCTGAGTAATATAAATATGTCATCTTAATTTGACCTAAAATGAGAGTGCCTCGGGTCAATCAGTGTAGTGGAAATTAATGAAATGCAGTGTTGATAAATTCCAACCCAGTCTCATGGCATGTAGGATTCATTGTTTTTAGTGGGGGCTTCACAGACCTTTAACATTACCCCTTTACCCTTAGGTGCTGAGAAGAACAGTAGAACCGAAGAACATCACAGTAAAAAAAAGATTATCCTAAATCTTCATATTCATATCTTCCAAAATGTAATTCCAAACATTTACCGCAAATAAATACACAAGTCAAAAGATGTTGATTTAAAGTGTGTGAATTTGAAGTGGTTGCTATTTCAAACAACATCCTCACACTCACAATAAAGTTATTGCAAGCAAAAGTAAAAGTCTGGGTACAATAAATATGTGTCCTGCATTCAAAATGTTACTCAAGTAAATAAAGTACCAAAAGTAAAAGTACTCATTATGCAGATTGGCCCATTTCAGAATAATATATATCATATGTTTTGATTATAATTATTGATGCATTATTTGTTTATCACAGCTGGTAAAGGTGCATGACTTTGTATACTGCAGGGTAGCTTGTGAATTTTACTCCAGGTGTAACTAAAGTCTAAATTGAAGTGTTGATTATATTTCACATCATTAATCAAAATCTCCAAAGTAACAAAGGGTATACATTTAGTGGAGTAAAAGTACATGATTGACCTCTGAATTGTAGTGGAGTAGAAGTACAAAGTAACATAAAATGGAAATACTCAAATAAAGTACAAGTATCTCAAAATTGTACGTAAGTACATTACTTGAGTAAATGTACTTAGTTACTTCCCATACTTCATGGTATGTGATACAGATCATTCATTGTACACTTTCCTTCTCTGTGCTTTCCTTTTTATTTTCTGTCTAAGCTAATGCATATCTCATTACATGAAATAATACATTTGCTCTACAACTGACTATTTTGTGATTGCATCTTATACATCTTCTTTGTAAACCCAAACACCCCCCAACACTAATACTGGTGTACAATG